AGGGGAATTACATGTGAAACAAGCCTGTTCCCTAACTTGAATTAATAATAATAATAATAATAATAATAATAATAATAATAATAATAATAATAAAAAGATAAAAAAAAGATGTCCCAGGGACAAGAACACATGGAGGAAGTCTGACCTCTTGAGTTTGATCCCTGGAATCCACAGAGTTGAAGGAAAGAACTGACTCCTACAAGATGTCCTCTGACCTCCAAATATACCCCATGGCATGCATGTGTGTAACATAGTGTGTGTCCATATACACACACAGGTATGCACACACGCATATGCACATACAATTTAAAAATAAATGTGTAATTATTTTAAAACTAAATAAATCAGAAATTAACACATGTTGGTAAGGCTGTAGAGAAACTATAATCATCATACATTGCTGGTGGGATATGTTAAATAGTGTAATTACTATAGAAAATAGTTTGGCTGTTCCTCAAAAACTTATACATAGAACATAATATAGTTCAGTAATTCTATTTCTAGGTAATTACATGCAGCAGAAGAACTGAAAACATGGATCCAAAAACATACTTGTATACAAATGCTCATAGCTAATTATTTATAATATCCGAAGTTGTAAATAAGCTAAATTTCTAGAAATTTAACAGATGAACGGCCAATCAAAATGGGATATATAATATAATGAGAAATCATTCAGTCATAAAAAAGAATGAAATTCTGATACATATTATAACATGGATGAACCCTGACAATGTTATGCTAAGTTAAACAAGAAAAAACAACAGGGCAAATATTGTATTACTTCACTTGAATGAAATACCTATATTAGGCAAATTCTTAGAGAAAGTGGAAAAGTTACCAAGGGCTTTGAAGAAGAAGAGATGAAAATTACCACTTAAGTTTCTGCCATTTGATCACAATAAAAATATATATTGAGGAAAAAGAAAACTATAAAAATATCCCCCTAAACAATGGTTTGGGTATATGTATATACATGTGTGTTTGTATGTATGTGGAAGCCAGCAGTCAACCTTAGGTGTCATTCCAGTGTGAGAATCTCTCACTGGGGCCAGGTACTTGCTGAACATTTACCCTGGCTGGCCTCCAAGCAACCAGGGATCTGCCTGTCTTTGTCTCTGTCACCAAGCCCAGATTTTATATGGATGCTAGGGATCCAAACTCAGATCCTCATGCTTGTACAGCAAACACTTTACTGACTGAGCCATCTCCCTGGGACAAGAGGGACTTTTTATAGTTTTGAACTAGTGATGCCTTTGAATAAGACATAAAACAAGGAGCCACAAATAAATCATGATATAGTTGAGTACTTAAGAATAATATTACTTAAATACCAAAGCATGGATCCCTTTCAATAAATGTCAAACTGGGTAAAAGTATTTTTAGGATATAATGAAGAATAAATTTTCAAATGTGAAAAGACAATCCACAAGTTAATAATAAGGTAAATAATATTCATAGGAAAATGCAAAACAGGATAGCAGTGAAGTTTCTAGGAAAGGCAAAATAAACAAACAAAAGACTTATTTTTACATAACATGCCTGGTTGGAACCAATCTTAAACACTATTCAATAAGGGACCATTAAAGCAAATTTTGGTACAGCAATGGAGTAGAATATTTTGTTCTTTCTGAAAAGGATAAGATAGCTCTTGCTATACATACAGGTATGGAAACTATCCAAGGTGTACTTGGGGGGATTATAAAGCTATTTCTATAGAATTCAACTTATGTGCATTTATTTGATAGAAAATTGTAATTAGTAAACATATAAATAAGTGAGAAAGGCTGGACCTGGGGATATAAAAAGGGGAACTTTCACTTTTACACAGGATTTTTCTGCAACTGTTAGAAAATTTAAATTATTAATACAATCACATAGCTTTTGTGATTAAAAATGTAGCTTATAGTGTTTAAAAGATGACACCAGTGTTATCCCATGAGCCACTGTTTTATATCACCAAGCCTATTTTGATCTCACATGCTAGAATCGTGAAAGAAATGGAAAAGTTTGGAATCAGGCAAATTTTCAGATTCAAATCCAAGCTCTGTAATTTATGCAGGAAAAACACTGAATTTCAGTGTGGCTACCTGTAAATAGGGCGTAGCAGTGTTCATTTTGACAGGCTTTTTATGAGGATTAGTCGAAAGGTCAGGAACACTGATCAGCACAGAATTACATCAACACTACCATTATTACTGCTTTATCATAAAAGATGTGATATTCCACTCACAATGAATCACTTTGCTTTTAGTTAGCACTTCACCTTTCTCCTCTAGTGATCTGTGTCCTTCATGTCCAAATATTAACTACTTAGCAGACTGGTACCAGGTACTTTTCATGTGACCATGCTAATAATGACTGGAAGAATACTGGCCCTAACAATGAGAAGATAAGTGGGAACTCTGACCTACAATTTGTGTATCAAGAACTGTATATGTATATACCAGAAAAATGTGACAGAGTAGATATGAAAAAATATGAATACAATTGTTAGGAAAGCCCAAGGGGCTGTGAAATGACATTGCAAGGAAATGATATTGCAAGATAAAATAGGAAAAATCCTGAATCTCATAAATTTAGATACTCAACTCAGTTTGCACAACCAGTAATGTCAAGTTATGTCACCATCAGATAGAATTCATAAGACATGCTCCAAATCAACAGAGATTCTAGAGTTTCATCAGCTTGGAGAGACCCAACAGAAACTTGTAATAAATGGCTTTCTTAAATGCTCTTTCAAATGCATTATCTTGTTGAGCTCAATGAAAATGAAATGTGCTCAAGAAATAGAAAGAACACCAGAATGAACAAGACAACTATAATTGCAGTGCTAAGTTTATAAGTACAGAATGGGAAACTTAGTTGGTATTGTATGAAACAACATAAATAGCTGAAACGTTTTGCTATTGGGATCATATATGGTCTTAGAAGTCCTAAAGGAGTGGAATGGATAACACTTGAATAACCAAACATTTATGAGAAAACAATTATACTGTAGTACATTACTATCATATTATAATTTGAGGCAATTATGCAGCAAAAGTATAGAGGACAAAAGGGAAGATTTACACTACTTCATGTGCATACCCTGTCAGACTGATGAAGTAATTATAATGGTAAAAAATGTTCTTTGTGGCTCATTGGAATAGAAACAAGCTATTTAATTTATTTAAAAGAAACACTCACATTTAACTCTTAGGGGGACACTTAGCAAATGAGTAAGGCTACAGTAGTTTAAATAATAAAAATTCTGCCATTGAGAAAAGGTTAGGATCGTTTATAGTATTTTTTTTTCTAAACAAAAACAAGTCACCTGCAACTTCCTTGATATCTGACAATCTTCCACTGCCAGGTGCTTCTGGTGGGTACACACAACTGTAGTTCATGCAGGTCAAAAACGTGTCTATTTGAGATGTGCGGACATCTTCCGGAGAATACATAGGTAGAAATGCAACATCAATTGCAATCTCATGGTTCAAACCTGTGAGTGAAAGACCATAGATTATTAAATGTTCAAGTGGCTTGGAATATTTTGCTACTTTCAAGTTTCCTGGTTTGATCCTAATGTGTGCCTAATAGTTTGAGACCTGTAAATACCTGTTTACACACCAGGAACTAAACTCAAATTGATTTTGATAGGCTGTACCTTCTCACCAAGGTTGTTGTCTGACAATTAGAAGACCCATTTCCATATCTTAGCTCTATACATTTTATCTCTGTATTAATTTAAACCATTAAAGACCAGAATTTATGGGTTATAAAATAACATGTGAAAATATATTATTTTGTGAGATTTATTTAAATATTCTTCATTGATATTGGTGATTATGAAAATTAGAAAGTTAAGGTAGACATATTTTTATACCTTTGCAAATCAAAGCTAGTTGAAGACAAAAGCTCATTTGTAACTATGTTAATAATATAATAACTTTACATGGTATATTTATACTTAAATTTTGTTTGAATTAAAAATATTATTCCAATATTTAATATTTGTTTTCTTTGGAAAAAAGGTGGTTGAGACTGAGGAAATCTAAATTTTTAATCATAGCCTGCTTTCTGCCAAGCCTGAGTGTGAGACTTGAAACCATGTAAGTTTTCTTTAGCTCTGAAACTGAATATGCAATCAAATAAATAAAAGAATGTCATTTCTCCATGCCAAAATGCTCATGGAAAAATTACTGTCAAATGGTAGTAAATTGGTTATCTTTACGAAGCTAGTGACACCTACATTCTATCCTTCCTTTAAAATTCATAAATGCCTCATCTTTCATCTCTAAACCATCCTTGAAAAGAGGTAAGATAACATTTATATAAAAATAGCACACTTCTAACATCGACTCAATCTGGTGAGCAGAATGACAAATTTGTGTTCTTTATACCCTATTCTTGCTTTTAGCTGACTCATAGCCAAAGCTAATAAAAAGTGACAATTACCTATGAGTCAGCTGAGACTTACAGTCAATCTGCTTCAATCAATCTGTAGCATGTTAAAGGAGAAAAAAACATTCAGTCTCTGTGTTTCTTTATGACTCTTTGTTTCTGTTGTTACTTTATGTGACATATGGGAAATCTTGGTATGGGTTTTGTTTCCTAGATGTGGAACTAAGTTTGATAAAGAACCTGACAAAATCAAGCACCAGAGTCTAGTGAAGACCATCTGAAAGTTAGATTTCTCATTATACATGAATATTTATACCTTATACTCCATGTATGCATATTTACATGTGAGGAAACAGGAAAAGAAGGGGAAGAAGGGAATAATGGTGAAAAATAACACTGGTGAAAGTTAGGGCCCTTAGCACTAATACTATGGATGGAAAGATCAACAAAGAGTAGTCCTATATCCATCATGGGTAAAGGAAAGCTCTATTAGTTCTCATTCTCATATCCCCCCAAATTTCTAAGGACTCGCTAGTGTTGAGAAGCCAACAATCTGAGCTTAATTTCAGAATTAACACTTCTCTCATTTAGTTTGAGCCAAAGAGAACGCGCCCCCCCCGCCCCGCTTTGGACTTCTGTATGGAGAGGGTGCTTATATTTTTTTAAGTTTAACTTCTATCTATATTTAATAAATGCATTAAGTTATAAATAAACAAATAAATACAAGTAAATACATTAAATTAATAGTATTCAAGAATAATGGAAGAGTAGTTCACCTACCTAGGATGGTTACTTCAAAGTGTCCAAGGCTTCGGGCACTCTGAAATTCATCGAGTTTGGGTTGCTTTCCTTCAGGAGGTATGTATTTTGATGGTTGAGTATTATACTGCTTGGCAAGAAACTTTCCATACTCCAGAACAAATTTCCGTGGAACACTTTCAGGATAAACATGACTGTAATGTAGGTGGTCTCTCAGGCTAAACTTCTTATCTTTCCACAGCTGACTCTCCCATCTATCATATGCTGTTCTTCTGGACTTCCCTGTGGAACTAGAACTTGAACTTTCTCGGCCTGTTCAAAACACAATGAGATAGGCACAATGGGCCCATAAACTAGCTAAATCAAGGCATTCACTATATTAAAGAAAACAGATTAATGAGGAAGAGTTAAGTAGCTTTAAAATGAAAATTGACTATCTAAAAGATAATTCTTATTGAAGTCAGGAAAGATGAGTCTGGATTGATGGCTCAGTGGTTAATTGTTCTTGCAGATGGGTTGGGTTCAAGTCCCAGCACTCACATAGTGACTCACGACTGTCCATAACTTCAGTTGCTGGGGATCCAGCACCCTCTTATGACCTATGCAAGCACCAGGCACATGTGTGTTGTAAACGACATACATGCAGGCAAAACACACAAATACATAAAATATATACATCTTTTTAAAATGTGCAAAAGTTTTGAAAAAAACGTTCAGAAAGAATTAAACTTGTTTTCTAAATAAATTTTCCTTTAAAATAATGAATGATGCAGTTTTCTCAATTGTTGGAATTATGGACATTTTTAATCATCATCTTTATGGTATTTCTATATTTTCCAAATGCTCTTGCATAAACATGTTCCCTTTATTTTATATAATGCAACCACAGAGAAATCAAATTCATTACAATGGTAATATTCATTCATTCATTTGTTTATGTCAGTAGCTTCAACTGTCAAGTTGATATAGCCCAGCATCATTTGAGGGCATCTCAAGTTGGAGAATGCCCAGATCAGACTGCTCTGCAGCCATGTCTGTGAGAAATTACCATAGCTAATAATTGATGTGTGGTGGTTCAGGCCACTGTAGCTATCACTGTAGCCTGATGCTACTCCTGGGCTATAAGACAGCAAGCCCCAAATCAGCATTCCTTTATGCTCTCTGCTTCAGTTCCTGCTTTCTGGTTCCTGCCTTTGGCCTCCCTCCATGATGGACTCTCACATGTAAGCCAAATAATCATTTTGTTCACCAAGTTGCTTTTGGTTAGTGTTTTATCTCAGCAACAGAGAAGCACATTAGTATAGTTTGTATTTTATAGAGTCTCATATAGTCCAGGCTAGACTATTAACTCAATATGCAACTGAAGCTTGCCTTGAACCTCTGAGCATTCTGCCTTGGGCTCACAAGGGCTGTGGTTGCAGGTATGTGCTACACCCAGGTAACTATGGAAATCACTTATTATTGGTAGAATTCAAACCTAAAATAAAACTGTTAATTTCTGCTACAAGTGATCTGAAAAAAATACAGGTTTTTTTCTCAAATAACACTTCTCCTACAAACAAATTTTACATTTAGTGTGTATGATACTCCTTCAAGATATAAATAATATATGATAAAGGAGGAGGAAAATAAATTGAGATTAAAGATCTCAGGATTTGGGCTGGTAAAATGGCTCTGTGGGTAAGGGTGGTTGCTGCTGAGCCTGACAACCTGAGTTCAATCCCCCAGGATTCAACATGGTATGAAGAGACAACTCTCACAAAAATTGTCCTTTGACCTCTACATTTGAGCTGTGTTGTACACACATGTACACACACAATCATCAAATGTTAAAAGGAGGTGTCTATTCTTATTATTTATTATTTATTTTAATTATTTTGTGTTTAATATATGCATGAGTGCATACAGATACATGTGTATAGAGGGCCAGAGTTTTAGTATTTTCGTACATTGCTCTTCACCTTATTTTTGAGGTTCTTTAACTGAAGCTGAAACTTACTGATTGTCTAGGCTGGCCGGGCAGCAACCTCCAGTTATTTGCCTGCTTCTGTCTCCATGGCATTGAAATTACAGGTATGTGCTCCTCTCCTTGTCTTTTTAAGTAGGTGCTAGATATCTGGGCTCAGCTTGTCAGACTTGCAGAACAAGTACCTTGTTGAATGAGCCATTTCCCTAGGCTCCTATTTGTTTGCTATTAAGAAATCAATTTATTATCTATGTACAATGCAACTGGTATGTTTAGTTTCTAAAGGAGAATGTAAGTTAGCCCTTACACATTATGACATTTGTTCAACAATTATTGTGTACCTATTGCACTAAGGAATTTGGTACAACTAATATTTTGATTGAACAACACAACTTTGGGAGTAAAGACACATCCACACTAAAATCAGAACAAAAATAGATTTAAAAATAAGACTCTCAAGCCAGGCAGTGATGGCCCACAACTTTAATCCCAGCACTTGGCAGGCAGAGTCAGGCAGATCTCTGTGAGTTCAAGGTCAGCCTGGTCTATAAAACTACATAGAGAAACGCTGTCATAAAAAAACAAAAATTGTAATTTTATAAAAATTAAATAAAAAACAGAAAAAAACAAAAATCAAATCAAATTACCATATTAAAAATCCAAAAAGAAAAAGACTCTCATGTTGTTGGTTCTACTAAGACAAGTTATAGGAAACTGCATTTTGAAGTTAACCAAGTTGCTTCTTTGTAATTGCTTGCTGTCATGCTGTTGATTCCTGTCCTAGCATAAGAAACCTTGATGAGTCAGAGAAACAAAGCTTCACCATGGTTAATATGCCACTCTTGGCATTTCAGATTTTATCTTTTATCCAAATCTATAAACCAACCACAGTGCTTGGTTTCTTAAGAGCAGCTGGAGACCTACTGCAAAAAAATGTTACATGTTAAAAGATAGCATCAAAAGGGAAGGTATAGAAATTGAATGCATACTTCTATTAATCAGGAACCTAAAACACCAAAGTGCCATAAGAGTTATTTTAAATTAAAATCAAGCTGATAAACTTTCCTATGATGACATTGATAATAAAATGGATAAACAATGACCCACACATGAAAAGAAAGGAATATACTCCAATACAAGAAAACAGGCTTAAACCGAAGACTGAGAACTGATTTTATTATTTTAATTTTCTATAAATAAAACCTTTTATTTAAACTAATAAAAGTATTTGGGACAGCAGAAAGCAGTTGAGTACAGTGGCACAAGGCTATAATCTTGGCATTTCGAAAACTGAAAGGCAGAGCCATGAGAATTGTGACTTAGAGACACAGGTGCGCTGTGTTAGTGAAACACTGTATAAAAGAAAAGGATGAACAGCAGGAAGCAACAAGTAACTACTCAATAACTCAAACCATACTGAACATTCCCACAGCATGAACAAGTCATTCTGTATTTTAATCTTTTAAAAATAAACATTTATCTTACCTTATGGAAATAAATTTTTGAGCTTGTCAGGAATAACTCATGAACACACACACATACACACACACAATGTATTATTAGAGACTATAAGGGTATATACATGTTTAATGAAAATTCCCCCAAAACCATTCTTTATATTTTTATCTTAATAATTTCAGATTAAAATCTCCTACTTTAATTACATATTTCTAACAAATGAATATGAAATAAGTACAGGTAACATTGGCATACACAGGGTTGTGAATGACTACATGTCCAAGGATATTACGAAAGAGAAAAAAATATATTCAGGCTTCATGTTTCTCTAAAAATGAGATGAGGAGTCTTAAACAAGAATTCTTTTATGTTTAGTTTTAACATTACCAGAATTACCATACAAAATACATATTTGTTAATCTTAGTAAAAATAAAAAGATATGCCACTAAATCAATAAAAAGTTATCCATGTGGGAGGGAGAGATGGCTCAGTAGCTAGGAGCATGGGCCACTCTTGATAAGGACCCAGGTTCAGTTCCCAGAACCACACAGCAGCTCACAATTCCTGTAATTCCAGTCCTAGGGATCCGATGCAGACATACATGCAGGCAAACCATCCATACACATAAAATAAAAAAATAATTTAAAAATAGGCATCCTTGGTGAGAGTGTTAGGATAGGAGATAGGGAACATGTATGAAAATTAAAGTTAGTTTTCTTTGGTATAGCTGACTTTGGAACTATGTCAATAATTAACTAAATAATAAAACAAGTATTATCTAAATATATTTAAAGAAATCAACCCCTAGTATTAAAACAAAAGAAGTAAACTTAAATGTCCACCCATTTTGTAATAGAACCACACATAAAGGAATATTACAAGTTATCAAGCTATAATAGTGGGTATGCCATAAAAACAAAGGAACTGAAAAGAAGCACAGAACTTATTCTGAGCCTCTTAAATTTGTGGTTGGTATTATGGTTTTGACATGCCCCTCCCTAAAAGGCTCAGGTCTAACCAGTGGATCTATCCTTTGGTGGTTTTTCAGATACGCATACCCTTGATGGCCTGGGAAGTTTCACAGGTAAGTAAACACAAAGATTTGCAGTTCTTGATTTGAATGATTTTATAGGGGTTTCTTGGTCAAGAGAGCAGGGAGCCATTTTCACAGGTCACCTCAGGCTGCTCATAGGAAAAGGAAGAAGAGCCTGGATTCTTGCAGTGGAATGGTTTCCTTTATTTTAATCTTGTATGTGAAATTTATTTATTTGAATTGGAAGTATAAATGTGAAATAATGTTTTGTCTTAACATTATCTAAATACCTAGTAATCAATAAAGAAAACACGTTTTTCTGCCCCCCTGCAGATGCTTAGAAATAACAACTAGACAAGTATATATTGAAACCTATATATACCTTGACTGCAATTGCTAACTACTACAGCTCTGTGGGGAAATGACTGATTTCATGTCTGGGGAAAGAATGTTGAAGAGGGGCCTGTAAACATGCTGTAAAAACCAATAGCAAAATTCTGACACCCCACTACTATCATATATCATTACACTCATATGAACAGCATAAGCATACATGAAGAATTTCTGACCCACCAAATGTGGCAGACTGTCACTAGTAATGATAGTGTTAAAAAAAGGAAGCAAAACCAAACCAAAGCAACAGCAACAAATCTGCCTTATAACTGGTCACTTCTGGAAGATGCTTGTGATATGAATCATTATTTTGAAAACTGACGAAGAAAAATAGAAAGTAAATTTTTCTTCTTAAGTAAATGAACTACATGTCTACATAATCAAGTAAGCAGAAAACTCTCTCCTTATGGAGCTGTTTTTCTTCTCAGGCTGTGAGTACAGAAGGACATATAAAATTATGT